AGGCAAAGGAGGAGAGACGACCGAAGCTTCAAAGCTAAGGCAGAGGAGTTGAAAACATCGATCCAATCAGACCACCCGCCAGAGTTGTTGAAGGATTTATATAAAGAGTTCGAGGAAACTTTCAAAAATTTGAAAGTGATACATGAGAAAATATTAGACCTGACAGACCAGGATAAAGAAGAAGATGAGGATAAGTGGATGCAACCACGTAGAGAACTCCATAGTGGTATCCGGTTACTTCTTTACCAACATAAGCAAAAAGAGGAACTTTCAGCAAAGGAGTCTCAGGACGACCAAGAAAAAAGTACGAAAAAATCTGAATTGCATAAAATAGAATTAAAGAAAATGGAGCTACCGAAGTTCACTGGAGATATTAAAACATACACGAGATTTAAGACGGACTTCAAGAAGTTCGTAGAGAAGGCAACTCATCCAGAACAATTGTCATTTAGACTCAGATCCTGCTTAGGAAATGAGGTTAACAAAGTAGTGCAGGCAGCAGAGGACGACTATGAGCAAATGTGGACTTTGTTAGACGAGAAGTATGGCGACAGACACAAGTTGGTAAATGCTCTCATTGGAGATATCTTAAAGCAGAAGCCGTTGAAAGAGGGAGAGGATAGCCAAATAATTCAATTCATCGAACTAATTTTGGCTTGCCACCGCAACCTAAAGCGGATAGCCATCGAGCACGAAATGAACAACGCCCGAGTTATCTCCGAAATCGAGAGTAGATTACCGGAAGAACAGAGGAGAAGGTGGGTCAGGCTGATCCATGATCCACAAGGAAAGGATAAAGTGGAGAAAGACGGGAAACTAAAAACTCTCTTAGACTTTCTGGAAGAGGAGAGTAAGAGTCTGAGATACATGATGTCAGGCTTGCAATGGGCTGCACCACGACCGAAGGTGCACAGCAGCACAGTCAATTTTGTGTCGACAGGGAAAATGCCAGACGAAAGCTGCTTGATACACGAGGATGGTAAACATACAACGCAGGATTGTAGAATGTTCAAGTCTATGACCGTTTATGACAGAATCGAACTAATGAAACAAAAAAGAGCCTGCTTCAGATGTCTAAAAATAGGACATCAAGTGAAATTCTGTAAGTTGGGACGTTGCGGTAAAGAGGGTTGTACTAGGAAACATCACCCATTGATACATTACGCACCGAGAAATGGAGAAGTCGTTAATGCGACGCAACAAAGCAACCCTACGACAATTCCAAACTCATCGGGGAGTGGCAGAATGGCGAATGCAGCACAACAGAATAGTTCTATTACGCATTCTCCATGTATTTTGATGGCCAAAGAGTTACAAACGTGCAGAGGAGAAGGGATCACCACCATGTTCGATTCCGCTTGTACATCCTCTGCCATCCTATCCGAGGTGGCTGAAAGACTAAAATTAAAAAGGAAGCCGCTAACAATTTCTATCACTAAGTTTGGTGGTGAGACCGAGTGTATCGACACGTACAGTTATATCCTACCATTGAAGACGAGAGAAGCAGACATTAGAATAGAGGTATTTGGTATGCCGCACATCACCAATAACCTAATACAACAAGACACTGCAAGAATGGCAAGTATGTTGGGAGTTGACAAACGTCAAGTAGAACGACCTACTGGGGCAGTAGAATTACTCATTGGGGCTGATAATGCAAATCTGTTCCCGAGTGTTCTAAAGACCGTAGATGAGCTTGCTTTGTGTGAAGGGCCATTCGGCAAGATGATCTTCGGAAAACACTCCATGTGCAGAAGTGAATCAAACTCAATCAACTTAACGCAGATTAAACAACAACTTGATTTTGACTTTTTAGATATCGAGAGCATTGGTGTTAGATGCAGTCCAAGGTGTGGAGGCTGTAAATGTGGCAATTGCCCCCTAGGAGCTAAGAGATACACCTTAAGAGAAGAAAGGGAACTAAACTTAATTGACGAAGGGTTAACGCACGAGGATGGTAGGTGACATGCACGCTACCCATGGATCAAAGACCCACACCAATTGCCAGATAACAGACCTGTAGCAGAAGT